TCCCTTTCTCTTCTTCTTTTTAAATCCCTTTTCCTCTTAGAAATGTGTGCTGAAGATGCAGAAGGATCCATGCTAATTTGATCCAAAAAATACAGTTTTGGCATGTGGCAGATAAATGTGAGAGCAGAGGCCCAGTTCTCTGCTTTTGATGGAAAGTGTCCTTGCTGGTATAAAAAAGCTTTAAAAACTTCCAGCTAAGTCTTATTCGAGAGGTCAGACATCAGATCTCACCTGCGCAATCTCCTGCTGCACATCATTCTGCTACTCTTCATCTATGTTTTTGTTTAATGATATTTACCCAAACTTCTATTTCCCTTTTTCTTGGAAAAAATCATAATTATTCAAAAGAGGACAGTTCTTCGCTTGATAGCCTTGTTTTAGGCTCTGTTCTGTTACAGACTCATTCTGTAAATACAATGGGACTATAAATCCAGTGATTTATCAGAGGTTAGTCTGGCCCCATCTCTTCATTATCGTCATGCTGTGGATCATCTGCCCTGCAAGTAGCCATATGATGCATGACAGAAATAAAGGTGCAGTTGACAAAGGCAAAGCAGTTTCTGTTTCACAAGTTGAAACCGAATAATATATCCTACAAATAACAGTGAGGCTCCTCATACCATCTTAGGCATTTCAGTGCCAGGAGCCAGACCTTACAATCATTTAGAGCAACCTCAACTTTACCAAGTTGCAGCAGAAGCTCTGATGCCTGTTCAGGACTCTAGACTGCCTTCTGCAGTGCTCGGAAGAGACACATAAGCAAGATGCTGGGGGAGACTGGAGGCTGCTCAGAGCTCTGGCTGGGCATTAGGAGACTTTGAATTAAATGGGAACAAAGGGAGTGACTGTAAAGCAGAGAAGCTGAATTGCCTGGAGGGTTTTGGCCTAGAAAGGTTTTTGGTGGAAAGATATTTTAAATGGTCCCAATCTGTACTTCTCCTCCTTCATTTTCTATTCAATATTTTCCCAATTCCACTCTGAGTGGAAACTCAAGCTGAGTTGAAATGGCCCTTCACGTAGCTCTGATGCTTCCCAGCAACTAAACCCTCCCTCTCGGAGCAGATATTTGTCTGAGACTGCCCACGGACACTCCTTTTGACCTCCTCAAATCTCTCAAGAGCTTTTTCTTTCTCTTTGGTTTTACCCTCCCTTTTACTTTCTCCCCCATTTATCCCCCTTCTCTTTTCTCTTTCTTCCTGTTGCTCTGCCACTGACAAGCCCATTCCTATCCCCACATCTCCGGTTCCTCATACTTGGGCAAGTGTCTCCTCCTCCAATCCCATCACTGATTCCAGGCTTGCTGCATCGCTTTTCTTCCTACACTGGGTTTCCCCGCTCAGTACACAAACCCAGATTACCACAGCGATAACCAGGCATGTCAGCTACTGAATATATTGCTTCTAGTTGTCTCTATGCATCTTCCCCTTTCATCCCCTATTAATAAATTTCCAATAAATAGCCAACAGGCTATTCCTCCCACCCCTCAAGTCCCGTACCACATACGGTAGGCAGAACTCATCTCACCTCACTTTTGACGCCCGGGAGTTAGATGTCAAGGTCTGACTGCTACAGGATCTCTTTACAGTCAACAGAGAGAAAGCATAGGAAGGGCCTGTGTCTCCCCACTGGCTGTAAAGGGAAACGGCTGTGATTCACAGCTAGGCATTTAATTTTTAGACTTCCATTTTGGGAAGGTGACTGTCACCCAACAAAACAACCTGATCAGCAACCAGAATGGTGATCAGAAAATGGAAAGATTCAGACTACTTCCACACTTTTCGTGTGCTCAGAGCTAGGAAAGGAGCAAAGTCTGTGGAGTAAAATGCTGGTTGCTCCTTTTGAACTTACAACTATCTAAAAGCAGTTACAGAAGAGGTCATATGACATGAGGTCAATAATAGTAGAGGACTGAACTCAATCAGCCAGGGAGTTTCTCCCAGTCCTATGTTCATAAAGATACATATCCTCATCCTTAGGGGAAGAACAGTAAAAATATGATTGGTATGTCCCTGCTCTGTAGCTAAAGGGAATCAAAAAGTCTGAAATACTTTGAGCATGAGGGTCTCCCAGCTGGCTTGTGGCAGCTAAGAACACTGTAAAAGGCAACGCACCGTAATGGCTTTGGCATTGAACCCCTGCTGACCTAACTCTATCTGGATATATCTGACTTTGTCAACAGAATACTTTGAATATTTTGCTGAGTTTGCTCTCTATTCTTGGACTTTTCTTTCTTTGCTAAGTAAATAAAACCTTTTGTACCATATCTTGTGAAATGGTGAATGCAGTTAACCCTCAGTGGCAACAGTCAAGCATAAGCAGTGCAGATACGGCTAGAAGCTGGGAGTCCTGAGCTGTGATTCAATAGACACAAAGATCTCATGTCATTCCTTGAGGTAGGCTATTGTGTACAAATCAGCAGGACTGTTATAGTTACAAGAATTCAACAAATTAGCTGGATACAAATCTCAAAATGACAAACCATTAGTATTGGCACCAGGTATCAAATCACCAGAGGAGATCTGGGCCCAACATGAGATATAACAATCTTCACATAATTCTGGTACTAAGTACAAAAAGGTTCACCATTGTTTGCTTAGGGTGGCTTTTCAGAAAAACAAAACTGAGTCCCTGGAGTAAAGTTTATACCTGATCTAGACAGTTGCTCCGTAAGTAGCGTAGCGCTTGCTGTATGCTCTGGGGAAGAGGCTGTCCTGTTCTCTGGACGTTAACTATCAGAGGCACACCAAAGACGTTCTTGTCCTTGTAGTCAGGGACTTTCATCCTCTTCATGAACTTTGGCACAGACCTGAAAATTAACATGAACAGGCTGTGTGAAAATATCAGGGTATTTACAGAGTCTTTCTGAGTAACACTGCTGGGAGAAATTGGTAACTGGGGCCACCTCCTTTTTTATAAAGATGGTGAAATAATGTTTAATGCACAACACACGAACACTTTACAATCTGTATAACTGATGGATTTCTTGACAACTTTTATAAGTAGATGGCCTCTGGCTCTCAGATATAGCATAACAATCTGTTCTAACAAAAAACTTTTACTACGTGGTTGTCATCCAGCTGAAGCCAACACGGTTTAAAACATCCATTCCGGACTCAAAGGAATGGCACAGCAAAGCATAGTGGAGAGGGTATCTGAGAGAAAAGGAGGTTCAGTCCTCTAAAATGCTAAATGATTTTTATACTACCAGTTACATGATTTAGCATTTCTATTGACTAACAATTTACAGTAATAAATGATGGTGGGAAATCCCTACGTGCCAGATTCATCCCTGGTGTTATATGATTTATTCTAGTTGAATTACTTAAGAGAAGCTGGTGAGCTTGTTTTCTTCCAAAAATGATGGTGAAAACGAGAATAAACTGGATTCCCTTTGTGGGAGTCATGACTGCAGTGGAATTAAAAAAAAAAAAGGATGAATATGACCTGAATGTGACAAAGATTTTTCTCATATGTGTGGGAAGGAGATAAAACTTGGATTAAATGACCTACTGAAGGAGTACAGCATATAACCTTACAGCTATTTAGAGTCCCACTCTTATAAATCCTTAGAGACTGATTATACAAACTGAAGAAATACTTGTCAGGATGGAAAACTTCTGTACAAACAGCAGGATCTAGAATTTGCTGTATTCTAGTCTGCTTATTTGGCGTTTGTTAAGGTGAGATTCATTTCAGTACAGATGATGTCAGCTAGCCATGGGGAGCTGCACCAAAGGAGAACAGCGATCTGGGGGTTCACCTTATTGAATTTAGGTTTCTAACGGAGATTTAGAAGGAGTTAGCATCCAGACTGCCTCTATACAAACTGTGGAGCGAGGCACCTCCGGAGGGTGACCCAAACCCTGAGCCTTGGATAGAATGAGCTACCTTTGGAGTTGCCTGTCTCTTTCTACTGACCACAGACAGCTGACCCAACTTGCTCAGATTAGACTTACAACTTTTCGGAGTGGCTGATGTCAGTGAGGTGAATCTCACATGTAGTCCCTTGTATCTATTTTTCCATTTCTAACTTGTCTTATCTAACTCACAGCTGAATTTACTGGGATTTTGGTCGAGTGCTTTGAACATGGAAATCACAATGTAAATGTCAGGTCATATTATTTTTGGACTCATTGGTCTCTATGTATTAGGGAAAGTTTCTGTTATCCTTCTGATTATTTCTCAGATACTTATAATCTCTTATCTATGCCCGTTTCCACTCCAGTATACTTCAGTCTGTGTGGCCCATCAGGGTTCTTATACTATTAAACATGCAGATGTCTGTAGCCAGTTGTGCAGAAGGAGCCACATTGCCAGCTTTCACGTCCATCTGCCCTTCACTCCACTCTCTGAGTGACCAGGTAGCTGTTACAGCTGCGACGGCTGCAAGCTCCCTCTAACGCAAGCCCAGGACTAGGCTAAAGCTTACATCTTTTGATCTGCAGAGGAAAGTCCCGAAACTGTTCTAACCCTTCTTTTAAAGCACAAACAAACCAATATTGAATACCTGAAGTATCATCAGCAGCTGTTTCTTTCTGAATCACAAAACGAATTCTGGGGAAGACTTACTGTAAACATTTCCTACTTTTAATCACTCTCTCCTACTCCTGTTTATTTTTCTGGAACTGGAGTGTTGTTAGAGAGGCTCTGTTAGAGCACAGGAATTAAGTCAGATCTCCAGGATCTATTTCTGACTTTGCCACTGAGTCACTAGGCAGCAATGGATTAAAGGGGACAGTTTCAAATTCTACAGCTGAAGTCAATTGTTCCTCCTAATTGCATTTACTGAATTTACTATCAGAATAACAGAATTAGGAGAAACTACTTTCTTCTAAAAATATCTCTCTTCCAGTTATCGATGGTACTCACCAGGTCCAGCCATGTTTGTTTGACATGGAGTACTTCTCCATGATGGCAGTAAGACGAAGCAGAGAGAATTTTTGCAGTAGATTCAGTTGGGCTGCTGACTGATTGCTGATGTGAAGTGATGCAATGGAGTGGCTCAGGCGATGGGAGATTTGGAAACTATGCCATCGTAATCGCCTTTAGCAAAAGAAACAATAGAAAAATCAGACAACTACTTTAACTGGGCAGAAAAAGATGGTATACTGTGAGATAGTGCTGGGCAATATACAAAACATACATAAACATACACACACTATGGCTCGTGGTGTGTCAACTGAAAGAAAATGTAGCTTGGAGGCAAATAAAACAATTTGCTCAATCTCTTTAATTTTGGAAATGCCCAAACTTTGATTTTTTTAATGTTAGATTCACAAGTGGGTGTGGGTCCCGTCCATGTACCCAGGGAAGCAGTGCTGCCTGCTATGCCCTTTAGCCCACACATTTCCGACAGGATGTGGGAGATGGAAATTCAAACGTTTTCTCCCTGACTCAGAACCGGGATTTGATGCCTGGTCCCTCACCTCCCAAGGGACCGGCCTGCCACCAAGGTATTTGGAGATGAGGTTCTCCAAATATCTCTATTATTAAATACTGAAGGATTTTTTGGAGAAGAGATTGAACCCTGTGTCTCCTTGGCAAGAGCTGTAACCACCAAGCTATTGAGCCACTCACATCTTCTCTTTACTCCAATGCACTTTCTCTATATACTGGATACATCGGAAAAAAACTCATTTCGGTTTCTTGTTTTGCTAAACATGAGCTCTGGCTCAAATCCTAAAAACCTTGGCACTGCTCATTTACTCAGTAGTTTCCTCGAGTTCACTTGCTTGTGATGGTGGTGAGCAAGCACACGCAACAGTAAACCATGGCATGGCAGAATCATCTGTGAGGATGTGACAAGGCTGATGGCAGATCAGAAAATACCAGCTATTTTCTCACTGTTTTGCACGTACAAAGCCACCCTACACACAGCAGTATGGATCCACAAAGGCCTTTACCCAGGACCTTGCTCCCTTGGCTCAAGAGGAACTCACCCCTCTGACTTAAAACAGGTCTGCAAACTATTAACAAAATCCAGCTTTTCACTTTTATTAAGAAGTCAATTGTATACCATCATCTCACCCTGTCACCTAAGGGCCTGAGGCAGGGTAGGGAAATTCTCGTTGAGCGCAAAGGGACACATTTTTAGAGCAGACCAGTGCATAAAAAAAGTGCACAAGGCTACTGACGCATAAATACTGGGGTGCATAACTTAGAAGACAATTGAAAATACATCCCACAACATATACAGGGTCCTACTATGTAATCAGTGGATCAAGAGAGAAAAGAATGCCTTAGTTTGCTCTATTAAACCAATTCTCCATTGATTCTATATAAGAATTTCCGTAGCAGGATGTCCCTTCTCCCAAAGTCCCACCCTTCCCAGGGAAGTCCCCAACCCCACACAGGATGAGTACAACTGCAATGGTACCCTGCACCTTCTGACTCCCAGGCTGAGAGCCTCTGCTTCATTATATCGTATTTCACAGTCTGTGGATTTGTGTACAAAATTTTGCTACCTACCTGCTTGGCCTTGTGAGCGATGCTCCCACCCCAGAGTCTCTCCTGTCCCTAACACCAGTGGCTTCAGATTCGTTCAGGGACGTTCCATCTCTATCCATGTCACTCGGTGTGGTCCGGCCATCAGAAACAGAGTTTCCTTCAAAATCAAGTGTGATCTGTGTGGGTGACTGGAAAGGCAAGGATGGAGATTCCCTGGCCGACACATCATCAACTGGCAGACCTGGCAACACATTCTTTGACCAGCCATCTACCACCTCCTGGAGTCCATTGACATGTTGCAAAATGTCATCTAAATGAGGAAAAAGGACATCTTTCTCTAAGTCCAGGAGGTCCCCAGTACTAGCGTACAAGTGGGAACCTGGCACATTGTCATAAATACTAATTCTGCTCTCTTTAGGACAGCAAGCCATCAATCCGGACTCTTTTGGAGTAGAGCAGTTCTGCTTTCCCAACGAGATGCTGCCTGTCCTCCAGTTTACACTGTTACTGTGGTCTGTAGGTGAGAGGCTTTCGATAGAAAGTGCCTTTGGGAAGGTCCCCGGTTTATGATCCTTGGGAATATGCACAACCAAGTTCTCTTGGGAATGAAATTCATTTTTGCGATTTTGGTCCGCCACTTGCCGTAAGGCCGTTCCTGCCAGAACATCCAGGTCCTCCAGGTACATCCCGCCTCTCTTGTTTGCTTCATGGCATTTGCGTTCCTTCAAACACGGTGTGCTCACCCCACTGCTGCTGTTTTCGGACTGACTGCTGTCACTGCTGGATTTGGCAGAAAAGGAAAGTCCCCTTTTGACTGAATCTTGGCCTAAGTTTTGGAGATCGCCATTGACTATTTGTACACAGTGCATGTCTTTCAAGGATTTCGGCTCATACTGGAGAACAGGTCCACTTATCTCTAAAAGACCCGTTCTTCCCGAGCCTTTTAGTTTTCCATGCACACCTTTTGCTTTTAGTGTCTCCATGCGTTTTAGAAAGGTTTTTGCTTTGGTTCGTGTTGGTTTCTCATTCTTCAGGTTGTCCTTGGGGAACAGGGCGGTGTTTATGGCAGTGGAGTCTTGCAGCAGCGTGCTTTCTACATCATGCTGGCCAGAGCAGTCGCAGGTCTCCCTGGCAGCGCTGCTGATGCCGGATTGACTCCTGTTGTCACTTCCCCCACTGCTCTCGCTGTGAATAGATGAGACCTCAGGTTCACTCAGATCTGTAAGGACACTCTCGCTGCTTGTTGTATTTTTCATTTTAATGTCCCCAGAAGATCCATGTCTGTCTGATCGATGAAGCAAAGCATCAATGTCGTCCACCCGAGACCATCGTCTGCTGGTTCTTTGGAAAGTCCATTTATTACTGATAGCACAGAGGTCTTCTTCATCTGAATCTTCACTCTGGAAAACAGCAAGTGGCACAGGTTAAAAGCAGGTGCTTTTACTTGTTATTTGAATTAATGCAATTGTGCTGCTCCATGTGAGCAACACGCAGTAAAGTCTCCCTGAACATAGTTTATGAAAGATAGGTCATCAGTCCTTTCATAACAGCCTCCTTCATTTAATTGTAAAGACTGCAGCGAGCATCTTAATAAGTAAGGAATAAAAGCCCGCTCTATATTAGGGAGCTCATGAGTCCCATCAATGCCTCTTGGCTTCTGTGGGGTGGATTGCACTGCACTGTGTACGACTGATGCCCATAGTGACTGTTTAGAAGAAAATGGGTTTTCAAAGGTCCAAGCAGAGGGATCCTGACTTGCAGGGATGGTGTTAAGATACACATGGTAAAGACTGGGAAGTAGCTGGGTACTACAGCAATGTGAGCCACTTAAGAAATGAAGACAGCAAATATCCGGTGCTACACTTAGTTTTGCAGCAAGAACTAAGTAAACACCTATAAACTTCATAGACCAGGTACGTCTAACAAGATTTATGTTTCAGGAACGTAACTACAGATAAATAGCCACGATGCTTAAAATAATATTTGGAGGTATCGCTTAGGGTGGGTCTGAGCGAAGGCAGCCATGGAGGTGTGGTGTGGAAGAGCATCCAAGCTCAGTCTTGGATGGGGCAGCATCTACAACTGAGGTGAGCTTTCCTACAGTGCCAACCACTGTCTTCCTGGCCTTTGCCATCCAGAGGCACCCCAAACTTGATGACCTCCAGCCTGCCCCACTGTCTCTGGCTTCCCCCGACCTCTCCCGAAGCAGCAGCAGCCCCACAGCCCTTCCAGGTCTCATCCCTCAGCCTGGGGCTTGCGGAGGAGTGCTTATGTTTAGGCAGCTCCAGGAGCTATTCTGCAATGCAGACAACATGCGCCTTGAAAAAAAGCTCTCCCTGTGACATTTTTCTTATCATCTGCTCAAACAAAAAAGATACATCTTCAGCATGAAGCGCACAGTCAGTGTCGAACTCGCTGTTCTCTAAGGATGCGAAGCCCACAGTTGCTAATGAGTATCCTTCCCTTGATTTTGAACCGGGTTTATATGCATTATTCTTGCACGTTTGTTTTAAAGCAGAACAAACTAACTTCACCTACATGACATCCAAACAGCTCTTCACATTCTTGGAAGCAGTATGAAGGCAATAAAATATGACAGGCTGTCAGACTAAAATGAGGTGCTAAACCAGAAAGACTATTTTGGGACTGGAAAAATTCTCATTTTAGAAGTCTATTATTAGAAGTATTTTTCTATGAAGTTTTGATGGTAAAGTTATCTCCCATCTCTGACTAGCTCTCTGCTGGCCTGCCTAATTGGAAAATGTAAAACAAATTTTACCAGAACCCCCAAAATCTTAAATAATGTGAAACCTGAAAAGTTGGAGATTGGGATCAATAGTGTGCCGGTCTCACTAATGCCAAAAGCTTTTGCCAGTTTATCACTTCAAGTCGGCCAGATGTTTTATGTCCAAACCATAAAATAAAATATAGCTACAAAATTTTGCGTTTAGTCATTCCTCTTTTATCTGTTAACATTGAGGTCTGCAGTGCTCCTGCAGCTGATGTTAGTTTACAGAAATGAATGGAGATCTTAGTTCTGCTGCTAGCTCGAGAGAAAAATTAAGCAGCTAGTGAAGCGGCAGGAAAGGGGCTAGAAAGGCTAATACTACTTTGGCCATCTTGTCTGCAGGGAAGAAATGGCATATCAGACAGCTCTGCCTTCGTTTCAGCTTGACAGTTGGCTGTATGCATATACAGAGCAAAGGACTGCACAGACTCAGGCACTTAAAAATCCATCTATTGTGGTCTTAGTAGTGCCACAAAGTGGATATTTCAAAAACCGCAAGGGTATGTACTTTTAAATATTTAGTAGCGGTAATTATATCTACAAAGCATACCACTGCTGAAGCGTTGATGGCTCCAGCCAATAGGATAAAAATATATTTTTTTAATTTGTTGTACATCCCAATATGCCAAAGGGACCTTAAAGAAGATTCTTGGCTGACACAAATCCCTGTAGCTGCACTGACATTACTGTATGAACTCACAGGATTTAGCCTGTATTTTCTACAAGCTGGAATCGATTAAACTAGCCGAAGTGGTAGAGACATTGTGAAAAACACCAAGAGGAGAGCACAGAGTAAGAGCCAGAAATAAACATAAATTCAGTGGTGAATATACTTTAAATCATTTTTAGAGGAAAATAAGTTTTAAGATTTTTTTTTAAAGAAAGTAGAGATGAACAGAAATGGATATTGGTAGTAAACAAGTTTTGCGTCTAAGCACAACAAAGATAGGATTGCATTCTGCCCAGGAACCACTCAGAAAATACAGAGGGATTTTGGTGTCAAAATTTGCAGCTCAATAAAAAAAAGGTTTGTTTTAGTTTAGTTCTTTTAATTGGTAACGAAACATGCTTGTGTTTCATCAGAAATAAAATCAGACAAATGAAATATCTGGATACTGAAATGCTGCCATGGTGACTCACTCGAAATTCAGCTGCACTGTGAATCCTGTGACATAATGTGCTTTTCTTTTGATGGAATCAGTAGAAATGCTGGAAGCCACGAACATCCTGAATGACCCACTGTTCCTGTTAGATATCAGAGCACCCTGACAAACGAGACTGTCCTAAAAAAACCGCAGAGAGCACTTTGCCAACCGACATGTCACCAGCTATGAGGACAGTGGATCAAGAGTAGGTCTGAAAGCAACGATTCATCTTACACAGGCGGAGCAGACATCTTGGAGCAGTGACTGTATACTTCTATGACCTACGGTGAAATCAAGTGCATGGCTTTGGAGCATATTCAAAAGTCCATTTAATACCATTATGTTTGGGAAGACAAGAAGGGGCAAGTTTCTTGAGGAGTGACTGATAACATTTGCCAAAGAGAAAGAGGTTTTGATTCACAGATTTGTCACAGTTGATTTAAAATAGTACAGCTTTTTGACTGAGGGTGTACTTGCCTAAGATACAGAGGGATGCTAACAAAAGGCAGAAAGTGGGTTTATTTGCGGTGGAATTCTGCCACATTTTTCCAGCTGGGGGCAGGAATTCTCATAAATCGACAGCTGCAGAAGGCAGTTAATCCAAAGGCTAATCTCTGTCTGTCCAAATCGCTTACGGACATATTTGCAACACATAGAGGAGGATTTCTGTATGCAGCTCAATGAAGCCAAGGGGAAGAGAGCAGCCCACGGTGGGAA